CCCCCCCCCGTCCTCTCTCGGCCCTCGTTTAAACGAAACTTCGGGGTTTAACGTTTATTTAATCGGCGCCGTTTGCCTTCTCCCGTTCTATTTTATTTCGCTGGCTCGTCGGCTCGACGGTTATTGAAACGCCGAGAATATCGAAAATATTCGTCCCGTTTTCCGGACAGTAAGTTGCAGATATAGAGTGTAAATACGCGCGATTCAGGCACATCCTATGCAGTATTTGTTCCATTATTACCTTTCGCCCAGTTCGTTGTATCGTACGTCGCAGCGGGATAGAATCTCTTTCGGCGACGAAGAGAGAAATTCAGTCACGCGAGAAGAACATATCGAACAGTTTCTGTCGTACGAGGTGATAGCTTCTTGAAACGCGAGTCTATCGTCGAAGAGTGATTAAAATTTCTTCATGATTTCTGACGATACGTTATCTTTTCGCGCGAGCAGTACAAAAATTTAGTGAACACGTATACAGTCAAAGAGCAAGAGATACTATTTAAAAAATCAGCAAATTAAACGTCTCTGTTGAAGCTTAGATAGCTTCGATAAACACAAAACTGTGGTCGAAGCACTTTCCATCAAATCGCGAGAATCTATTTTCTAAATTCAGAGTGTTTATGAAACTGATTGTAAAGGCAATGGTTCGCCTAGTTTTTCATGCTAGTAAGAAGTCCTGATCTGCTTGATCACGGTTAGTTCCTCTTATTGTCAACGAGTCTGTTATGTTTGGCGTTTCCACAAATGGTTGACCTCGGATCATCACACAATATTCAAATTAACGTTAACATGAATTCATCTAGATCAGAGCAGTCGAACAGCCCGTATTTCAAATTGATTGCCGGTAATTCGCCACTGCAGGCGAAAGACGGCATTTACGCGCATAGATAGATGGAAGTTACGCGGATAGATAATACATACGCGAGAAGTAAGCACAGATAGACAATACATACACACGAGAGATAGACGGAAGTTACAGATCACGCGCATAAATAGACGTTAGACGATAGAAATACAGTTCCATTTCTAAAAATTTATAAATTAGACCATTAATTACGAGGGACGTCCCATTTCAAAGTGTTTGCGCGAAATTAAATTTTGAGTGCAGACAATCAAAACAAGAACGATACTATTTAAAAAAAAAATCAGCAAATCAAACGTCTCCTCTCAATAAAATTAAAATTTCCTTTAAATTTTACCTTGGTGATTGTAATATCGGAAGGCTATACCAAGCAAACACACGCGCGCGCGCGTGTGTGTGTATGCGCGCATCTTCGATTAATTCGACTGCACAATTCCTGCTTGGCAGGACCCTTTCACAACAGACTTAAATTCCGTCTACGTCCACGGGGACGTTCGATCTCAGCCACCCTGTGTATTTACGAGTACCCCGTGGATGCTATGAGCAAAGTTTGTGCGGTTTCAATATGTCCTCTCCCTCTAGCCTGGACACAATATTACACGGGGACGTTAATATCTTCTATGCGGTTGAGACTGCGAAGCAAATATTAATACCCTGCCTTTGATACGTTAATTAATAAAGACCGAAATATTTGAAACTCATGCGTTTAGAACCCATATATTACCCAGGCTCGATCCTTATCCAGCGTATCCACGCTACGCCGTGCTTCTGCACTGATTCTTCACGGCGAAACATCATTTGCGCAGCTAATTCGCTGCACCTGCGATTGTCTTCTCTTATCGTGTTATCGTTTCGAGGTCGAACGGAACCCCAACATTCGACGTGATACACCGAGTATTTAATTACACTGAATTCGTTGCGTGTACTGACCGAGTTATCGTCATATCGAATATGATCTAAATAACGGTGCAATTATCATGCGTAACCTTATACTCGTATAAGTGTGGTGATGGAACGGTCAACCGGCCGGGTAAATTATGCAAACTATTAAATTCGAATGCTCGCAAAGTTGCCCACGTAATAATTGGCTAACGATCGAACACGCTCGGCGCGTTGAATTTATGCCGGACGTTAATATATTTTATTGTTATTATTGGTTGATTAAAGTCATCGTTAATACGTCGGATCGTGAAAAATATGAGCGACGTGCGCGTTTATTCCTCGCACGCGCGTGGAATTCCATCCGCGGTATCGATCACGTATATATCCGTAATTTCAAAACACGATTCGTCGTTCGTTCGCGCGCGTTCGAGGAAACGGGCGTGTTTCTTGGAACGGCACGTCGGCGTATATCAACGTCGTCGTTTGCGGACGACGTTGCGCTCGTTCTCCTTTGAGAAGAACGCTTGAGAACGCTTGTTCTACATGCACTACCGGCAACGTGGCTTATTCTACAAAAGTATTTTCCAGGCATACTGGAATTCGACCGCAGAAATTCCTGCGGAAGCCAGCCTGAATGCCAGAGACAACCTCGACGGGAACCTTTGCCGACTCCGTGCGGTTGGTCAATTTCCACTTTGTTCCGCAATTTTCGTAGCTCGGCCGAAACGCCAGGCTCGTCCGCCGGCAAAAGAATAGAAACACGTCGCTGAACTTGTCCGTCGGTGGCGATAGATAAAAGCTAGAGAGGGCGTCGCGCCGTTTAATTAGCAATTCAGATGGCAAGTTTATCGCCGGACGCGGTCGCAATTGCGCAATTGTAACATTAACCTCAGTCAGTTATTCGCCAATAATGTCGCGCCCGTGTGCTATTCGCCTTTTCGTGCTTCGCGTGGCTTTAATTACTCGGTAGAAGTCACTATCGTCGGCGAGAGGAGAACGGGGAGCACGGCAGTGGTAACGGTTCGTTGGAACGTAACCGTGAAGGGTCCATAACGAGAGAGCTTTCCCTTCGGAAGCGGCTCGCATCGCTGGCGATCTGTTCATCAGGTACGTGATCAGATCATCCACGGGCGCTGCTCCTCAAAGCGACGATAATTCGATTATCTCGTACATGTTCGACAACCGCTAACATGTCCTCTCCAATTGGCAGATCTTCTTAGTTAACCATCTTCCTGAATGTAATTAAATTAGTTCCGTGCAATCTGTGTTTACCTGATCCCGAGACCCTCGCGTTTTTTCCTCGCTTTGCTGAATGACTTTGAACTTCGCTTCCCTTCCCGCGATACCCTTTAATCGACCTCTCTGCGATTACGATTCGCTTATTATCCCCATCAACGCGGTGAACGCGATGATGGATTTCACTCGCTTCGTACGTTCACGAAGTTGGAAGTATATTTGGGAAACGGTGACGAGAGACAAAAGATAGAAGAGATTCTTCACGAGACGAAAACCGCGGAAAGGAGGTCTCTATTTATCGACGTGACTGGGCAGTCTCGATGCAGTTCTCAAGGCTCCGCCCTCGCAGCATCCGTGACACTCCCAGCGAGTACCACCCCTGGAGTCTCTACCGCGGAAAAACAACATTTTCCGCGTTTCCTTCACGCCCGCGTAAACACGGCGATGTACCCCGGTGTACAAAACTGCATCACGTGTTCTCGCCGCCGAGATACCTTTTCGTTCCTGACCTGAGAGAGCGGAGACTCTCGGCTGGAAAAAATTTCCAACCGGCTTTCCCACCGGCCACCCAACGCTTTTGTCTTTGATAATGCTTCTGCGGAAGCGTTATCTTTTACTTTTAGGACGAGAGCGCGGGCATCCGGTGAGTCGGTCCATTAATTAGGCGGGCCACATTAAGCCGAGCATTAATATACTCCGCTGGCTGTTTTGTTTTATCCCGCAGGAAGGACGTAACCACCCCCCCCCCCGGAGGTTGAACGGGGTGGCCAGGCGAAGGCAAGTAGGGGGAATTATTTCGACGGTGGCAGCCTGCTAATCCGACCTGCCATGCTACCGCCTTATCCCTAGAGACTGTTTAAATTCTGTAAATCGTCCTGAATATCCCCCGTCGACCCGCTCCTTTAACGGACACGAGGCGCTGTTACCCGCTTCCGGGAAAGTAAACGAGCCTCTCGGATAGAGACACGAGAGAGACTCAGCTTCCGACGTCACGTCGGCTAACGCCTTGAGATTTTCACGACGCAAATTTCTAGCTCTTGCATAATTCTGACGTTTAATCCCGTTCAAAAGTGTTTACTATAACTTCGTTAATAACAAAGAACTTACAAAGACTCTTGTGAAGAAATTTGTGAAAAATAATCTTATACCTTGGAGTAGGAAAATTTTACTTCGATTCGAGTCGTATCGTAAGGCAAGAATTCGAAGCTTTGCAAGCTATAGTAGAACAGCGTTAGAAAATCGGCTTACGCGTGCGTTTAGGTCAACTGGCGCGTAGGTGGCCAGGAAGGGAGGAGCCGGTCGGTAACGATGTAATTTAACGGGCCAAAGGAATATTTCCTACGGAATAAATCTCGCGTAACAGCGCCAGTGAAATCCTCGTTTACCCGGCATTCAGCCCCTT